CCCCCGTTTGGGGGTGGGCGGCAGGCTTTTTGAATCGATCGCAGATTTTGCAAATTGCACGTGATCTTTTCGGCCAGCGCACGGACTGCAGGAACGCAGTGTGGCTCCAAGACGGGCGCGATCTTGCGCGTGAGCTGCTCTGCGCTGGGGCGCCCGAGACGGTCGTGCATCTTTCGGAGGCCGGACTCGTTTTGAAGATCTTCCCGGAACTTGGATAACCGAGGTGGCAGAGACACCTGAAACGAACGTGGGTGCCCCTGGACAGCGATGGTCTCGCGCGCTCGTTCTGTGGCCCCGCTCGCGGCGTCTGCTGCGAGGGCAGGCGCTGGCCCTGGGCTAGCCGTGCTGTTGGGAACGATGAGCGGGAAGAGGTAATGACCAGCAGATGACGTTGTCAGCATTGTCGTCTTGCCTGTCGCTTTGCAATGCATTGTCGTTGCCGAAATCGATGACAGCACCGAGGTTCTTCAATTGAGGCTTTGACAACAAAAACGGCGTTGCTTGAGGACCGGGCCCTGCGTTGAGTACCTCGAAATCCGTTTGCGATGCAATGCTCGGCACTGGCGCGGTAGCTGTGCTTTCCGCTGCTTTGGGCTCGCCTCCTGCAAACCGGTATCGAGTAGGCGACGGACATGTGGGCGCGACAGTGCGTGGGCATTCCGCAGCCAAGAGCGCCCGGAATTTTTCGAAAACGCTCAGATGTAACCATCCCCTTGGAGCAGCCCGAATCAATAGTCGCCTCGTGGATGGCGATGTCTGCACGCGAGCTGTTTTCCATGGCTTCCGTAGACGCTGTCGCAGCAGCGACGTGGGAACCGGCTTCCAGCCTGAACGCATTTCCCCACTCCACGTCGAGGGTCGGAGAGCTTCTTTTTTCTTTTGCGGTATTTCAGCGTTTTTTGGGGTCTTTGGCGTCTTTTTCGTCGTCTTCGTCAAAGTCGTCGCTGTCGTCGCTGTCGTCGCCCCGCTCGTCGGAGCTGTCGGTTTGCCGGTTTTGACGAGACTGCGGGCCCATGCACCAGCAAGGTTCGCGGAGCTCCGAGTCTACTGGGTCGATGGGATCGCACGTGAAGCACATGCTTCCGCACTCTACGCGGGTCATGCACTCGTGCTGCGCCATCTCCTTGCTGCAGCAGCTGGCCCGCGCCAGGCGGTGGGAGCAGCCCTCGGCGCGGGGTGCCCTGAAAGGGCCTACGCCTACAGGCGCGGCATCCTTTCCAGCGGCCGGGAAGCCCAACCTCGCTGGTCCAGAAGCAGCGCTGGACGAGAGGCCGTGTCCCGACGAGGAAGCTTTTCCATCGGCCGGGAAGCCCAAGCTCGACGGTCCAGCACAATCCTCTACGGGAGGTTTCGGTCCGCCGGCCGGGAAGCCCAAACTCGGCAGACCGTTGTCGACGACATCTACTGCAGGCTTCGATCCGCCGGCCGGGAAGCCCAAGCTCGGCAGGATCTGTCTGGGTGCTGCCGTCGAGGCAGCGGCGGGAGGACACGACACCTCTGGCATCCTCCGTTCTTCGAGGCGCCTGAGGCACGCCAGTTCGTCGTCGAGTAGTTGCGCCCTGAAAGTGCGTAGTTGTTGCGCGTGTTCTGCCGCCGGTAGTCTTGGCAGCTCCCTCTTTTGCGGGGGTTGTGGCGGTGGGTTTTTTCAGATTTTCGTCGTCAGAGTGTCCCGCCGCAAAGGACCACGCAAGTTGCGCATCCGGGTCTTCGTGCGTGGATGGGCCAGCGCTCCAATCAGGAACGCAAGACCCTTCACCGCCATGCGTCCACCAATTGTTGTCGTCAGCTGTGAACGCAAACCGTTGTTTTCCATTGTTGGGCGGCCGCTTTTGCGGCACCTTTCCTCTGCTAGAGCCAGGTTTCCCACCGTTTTAGCTTGCTTTCCCGTTTGGCTTACCTGCTTGGAAACCTGGCGTGGGCGAGTTTTTGCATTTGCCTTTGCCCCTTTTACCTTCCCTACCTCGGCCTGGAACGGCGTTCCGGCCAGGGGCGCCGTAGCCTTTGCCTTTAAAAGGGGTGTCGTTTTTGCTTTTTGGTGGATGTGGGCATTGGGCAATCCAGTGCCGTGTATCTCCACAGCGAAGACAACCAGCAATTCCATACCAGGCGTCTTCGGACCACTCCTCCTGCTCCTGCCAGGAAGCATCTGCCCAAGAAAACTCCTCCTTGGCCCACTCGGGGCCGCTCGTGGCCCACTCGTCTATTGCAAAGCCGCCTGGCTCCGCAGACTTAGCCAACAGATTCTCGCCAAGAACCTTCTGGACAGCCTGCTTCGTGTTCTGCAACGTCAAAGTAGAATCGATATCCAATCGAGTACGAAGGTTCGACAGTTGTTGCTGTGTGAGTTCTGCGTTAATAAGGATACGGAGAACCTTCACAAATTCATCTGACCTTGCGAACTGGTCTTGTTCAAACTCGTTGATCAGCCTCATGGATTCGCCCACGAACTGTTCAATATTTCAGCTTCCTCTCCAGAGCTGCAGCCAGCTAGAAAAACGGAGAAGTGTAGCTATGTCGTCTTTGGTGCGGTTCTCTTTTTGCATAAAGTCTAGAAGGTAGTTGTGTCTGAGTTTACCTGTTGCTCCCGTCTCATTTTTCGGATTGGGCGATAAGCGCGCCATGTCCAGCAACCAGGCCTGGTTGCGGAAAGTGGCGTTTGCAGAAAAACCAAGTGAGTTTATGTGAGGACCAAATTGTTCTTGCTTTAATTCACTACTGTGCTTCCAGGCGTCTGCGGTCCAGCGATGGGGCAGGCTTTCACCCCACTGCCGTCGAAGGAGGCTGACGTCATCAGCTGTCGCACGGTCCGTTGGATCAACCTGCTCCGCAACCAACTTGAGGATGAATCAGGCGAAACTCATCCGGCGGAACGCGCCCAGCAGGGCTGGCGGGCGCGGCCTTCTCGGGGAACCGATCGGCGCGGCTCAGAGGACCTACGTGGCGGCGCGAGCAAGCAGCGAAGGGAAGCGAACTGGAGGAGACAGAAGAGACAAGAAGAGGCAAGAACTAAGATGGATGGGCTCGGTTGTCAAAGGGGGGGGGGCAGCAACGATCAGGAGGGGAGGGGGGGGCCTGAAGGCGGGGACCCGCCCCCGTGTTCGGCCGCGAGGTGGCGCGGCAGCGGTCGGGAAGGGGAGGTCCCGGGGTCCAGCCGGCGAGAGATCGGCTGCGGCAGGGACCGCCGCGCTGCCCCGCGGATCCGTCGATCTCAGGAGGGGGGAAAACACACAGGCACAATTAATCGTCGATTCCCAGGAAAATATAGAAGATATGGGAAGTGGGCGGGAAGACAAAAACCCCGAAAATATGAGAAAATATGTGGACTATTTTTATTTGTGTGTATTTATTTGTGTGTCCTTGGGCCCCTTGATGATCATGCTGCTGCACTCGCAGCCAGCAGTCGCTCGCTCGAGCGGCAGGCGTCTGCCCAAGCTGCGCTTCGTCACGAATCGCTGGCGGCCCGTCGGAGTGCGATGGCTCACCCTGCAGCGTGGACACCTGCACGGCCACGTCGGAGGTGAAGGATGATGATGATGATGATGATGATGATGATGATGATGATGATGATGATGATGATGATGATGATGGTGCTGCTGATGATGATGATGATGATGATGGTGCTGCTGATGATGATGATGATGATGATGATGGTGCTGCTGATGATGATGATGATGATGATGATGATGATGCTGATGATGATGATGATGATGATGCTGCTGCTGATGATGATGATGCTGATGATGGATGATGATGATGATGATGATGATGATGATGCTGATGATGTGATGATGATGATGCTTGATGCTGATGATGATGATGATGAGATGCTGATGATGATGATGAGATGATGATGATGATGATGATGATGATGATGATGATGATGATGATGATGATGATGATGATGATGATGATGATGATGATGCTGCTGATGGATGATGATGATGATGATGATGATGATGATGATGATGATGCTGCTGCTGATGATGATGATGATGATGATGATGATGATGATGATGATGATGATGATGATGATGATGATGATGCTGCTGATGATGATGATGATGCTGATGATGATGGTGGTGGTGATGATGATGATTTTGTTGATGATGATGCTGCTGATGCTGATGATGCTGAGGATGATGATGATGATGATGATGATGATGATGTTGTTGTTGGCGGTGATGATGATGATGATGATGATGATGGTGATGGTGATGGTGATGGTGATGGTGATGGTGATGGTGATGATCATGAGGAGGAGGAGGAGGAGAAGGAAGAGGAGGGAGAGGAGGAGGAGGAGGAGGAGGAAGAGGAGGAGGGAGGAGAGAGGAGAATAAAGTAAACACCCATGAGACGAAAGTGCATCTGGTGAACTTCCCAGCCGCTCGCGTGCGGTGATCGAGTGTCGCACAGCTTGCTCGATGTCAAGCATAGCGTCACCACAGCATTGTATCGGTGTGTCTTCTGTGTGGTGCAAAACAGCGTGGAAGATGGACACGCGTGAAGCTGGTCTGGGCGAGCGTTGGACACATGTGCGGCCAGAGGATTTTCCTGCGCTCGGCCCTTTACGGGCGGTGCGTCAGGCTCACTTCCACACGTGTATTCAGCGCGTGGTTTCTGGATGTCTTACAAATGTGGATCCACCCATGTGTGTTTCCAGCTTCCTGTTCTTTATGACTTTTGCTCGACTCACCTCCTTTGCCTGGAAGTGCATGCTTCTGAGACGCACTGACAACTGCGAGGACTTGAGCCTGCCCCGGCACAGCCCGAAATTCTTCACGCTCTGAGGGCGTTCCCCCCTTCCCTCCGGCCTCTTCCTTACCGCCTGTAGTGCCTAATTCGCACCGCAGCAGCCTTGCCGTAGCAACGGCCGCATAAAAAGTGTCCAGTTTCCTAGCAGTGTCTCCCCGTCATGCTGTGGTAGCGTGGCGCCGCTGCGGAAGCTGTGCTGCGCACGGCGCGACCCTCTCACGGCCTCGGTGGCCCCAAGGGGGAGCGGCGGATGAGTTCTGGGCCACATGCAGGGCGAGCTGCACGGAGGGCGTGGACCTCGTAGAGGACTGCGAGGAAGAAGGAAGAAGGAGGATGTATTGGAGGAAGGGTATTGGAGGAGGGGCAGGGAAGGAGGAGGAGGAGGGAATGAAGCGAGATGGACCCTGCTGGCAGCAGAGACAAAACAAGCCAGCATGGAAATACGGGGACGAAGCCCGAACCCCAGAAGGGGAGGAACCGTATCCCAGAGCACTCCGGCGCCAACCTGTTCTGTCGCACGCGCGGCGCAGGCCCGAAGCAAGGGCGGGCTCCGGCACCTTGCGCACGTGCAAGACGAGCGTTTACAATTAACCAAAACGCTGCCAAGCGGCCTTTCAGCCATAGGATTCCAGCCGCTCAGACTGTCGAAGAAGAGAGAACGAGATAAACATAAACTTTTGGCGCTCCGCGCGGGTTTCTTGGATCCGCGCTGGGCCCCCCCCCCCCAGCGGCGCCTCCGGCGCCGCCCGTGGCGCGCTCCGCGCGCCAGGGAGTGGGGTCCAGCGCGGGTCCAAGAAATCCGCGCGGAGCGCCAGCTGTTTATTTGTATGGCGTCTTTCCTTGTTCTAAACTGCTCGTTGCACGGCACCTGCAAGCTCACTGGCCAGCCATCGATCGTGTAACTACCATAGCTGCTACAATGTAGAGCAAATCTAGCTTCCAAGGCGCTGAAATCCGCGATGAGTATTTTGTGTCCTTTGGGGTCGCGAAGTATACCACGTAGCCGCTGTGGGAATCCATGACACCTCCTTTCAGGAGGCCTGTCTTTCCCCGGGCGCTCGCCGAAACAGCCCGCACTCCTCCAGCTGGAGGCACGGTGTGGACCAAGCCCACTGATGAGGAACGTGCAGGGGGGGCGGAGGAGCGGATGATGATGATGATGATGATGATGATGATGATGATGATGATGATGATGATGATGATGATGATGAGGATGAGGATGAGGATGAGGATGAGGATGAGGATGAGGATGAGGTGAGGATGATGATGAGGATGAGGATGAGGATGAGGATGAGGATGAGGATGAGGAGGATGAGGATGAGGATGAGGATGAGGATGAGGGAGGAGGAGGAGGAGGAGGAGGAGGAGGAGGAGAAGGAGGAGGAGGAGGAGGAGGAGGAGGATGAGGAGGAGGAGGAGGCGACAGTGGGGGCTTGGACTTGACGGGCGCGGCACGCCCCCTCGCAGCAAGGGGACTTGCCAAGCAGACATGGGGGAGGCGGGGCTCCGCTGGTGTATCCAAGCCTGCACAGGCTCCCGAAGATGGAGCTGTCGGAGTAGCTCCCTCCCCTTCCCTCGGTCTGCGCGGCAAGCGCTGCCGCGCAGAAAGGTGGGGCCGCTCCCGAGCAAGAGAAATCACAGCCCTGGCCACAAGCATGAGGTACTGAGGGCATTGCACTCAGCAACGGCATCTTTCAATTCCTGGCTGGGGGGACGATCACGGCTGAGGGCACCCTGCTTAACGGCAGCGTCTTCCGCAGCATTTTCTACAGCCATTCTGCGTGCGTCCGACCCCACAGCCAGGCCGTCTGGATTCACGTAAGTTTTGGTCTTCACGACCTCAGCTTTGCAAACATGTCAGCCCATAGCAAACACGTGTAATCTGGGATAAGGGTACCTCCTAGTGTACAACTTACAAGAGGGCCAATGGTCACACCTGCTATTCCTTCGAAGTCGGCAGTCAGCCGATGCATGAGGGGGAACTGGGTTAGGGTAGCATAGACAGCCACTCTCTCAGCCGCAGGACAAGTCTGAGGAAACTCACTGCCAACTCTACCACAATACGTTGTCCACGGCACGCCATTCGACTCCAGAACTGCAAGTCCCCACCCCGCACAGAACATCACCCCAGGGCCATCCTTGAAAGCATTCCCATCCGAGAAAGCATCTACCGGGAAAGCCTCAGCGACTGAAGCCGAAGGGTCCCGACAGCAGAATAGCCCGTCATCTTCGCCAAAGCCTTCGGGAGGGAAGAGGGTGAAGGAGCACTCTGTCTGAAAGTCGAGCAGCAAAGGGTGGCGATGGTGACCATTGATTACCATTCACGGTCGCCCATGTCTGCTTACCAACTAATCCTTGAAAGGCTTGGTGAGCGGGCAGTGCACGATTCTATCATACAAGTCGTCAGCCATGCACCCACATGCGCATGCCGCGTCTGTAGCATACACTGTACGAAACAGCCTGGTCTTCGTCCTTTGCTGCTGTAAAACGAAAGACTTCAGAGCCGTCTCCTAACCAGAGTTCCAAGGGGACTCCGTACTATCACTAATAACATCGAAGGGGGTGTCGAAAAGCCGTCCCGTACGCCCAGGAGACAGCAGAACGGCTCCGGGAGGTCTTCCATTTTCGTTTCACGAGGCAGGGTTGCTCGCAACGGTCGGGGTAACCAGCTCCAGGAGTTTTCGAAGATTTCATCCTGGCATAGACCCCGTTCAAATCGTCCAAACAATACTGGACCAGAGGATGACGGGCCCGATGGCTAACTCGAAGGTGGGGTCTTGATAAAAAGTTGCAGTGCTAGGGAACGGTCTCTAGACGTGGTGCCACGTCAGACCGTCTTCAGGAAGCGATTCTGCGCCTGATGCAGCTCCTTCCCGTCCAGTCCCATCCGAAGGACGAGGAGGAGGAGGAGGAGGAGGAGGAGGAGGAGGAGGAGGCTGATACCGTGCACATGCTGCCTGCTCCAGGCTGTATTCGCAGTGACCTCCCGTACCCTCCTGAGCCCGTTCTCCCGCCTCCGCGGCTTCGCGAAACCGACTTTGAGAGCGGGTTTGGTCCCAGCTCGTGCTCCTCGCTGACCATCGAAGAAGTCCAGCAAGTTTGGGGTCCCCAGGACCGTAGAACTCTCCGTGCGGCATCATGCATCCCTGAAGTTTCTTGAGCAGTGGATCCGAGAATGCAATCGTCGTGGTCTTCTTGGCAGCGGCCTTACCATGCATAACCGCATCTTGTAGCCCAGCAGCTCCCAGGACCACGTTTTATACCACCTTGTCATCTTCCTCGCGCGTATCCTGCAACATCCAGTCATCAATGACGAAGTGTATGAGGAGGAGGAGGAGGAGGAGAAGGACCAGTGTAAACCCAAGAGCCGTCAATAAGTTCTTCCTCCAAACTCCCTGTTCGTAGGCCCAAACAACGGTTCATTTCCACTGAGGGAGCTGCTCCGTTGGAAGACAGCCGCTTGAAGAGCCTGAAGCGCATCAGAACGTCATTTTCGGGATTCCAACGCCACGGATTACCCTGACTGCTGCGTTTCGAAGATTATGTATCGTGCCAGAACCTTGCTCTTGGGATTTCAACATCGCGAACCAACATAATTCTTGCACCCTCATAATCTTGAACCTCTCCAAAACGCCACGTTTGGTGCGTAGACCATGGGAATCAGTGGAACTATTGCAGTTTTAAAAATGGTATGTACGCGGCCCTAATGCGAGAGCCACGTTTTGAAAAGGAACCGTTCTCTGTCCGTGAAAGATGTGCAACTGTTTTTTTTTAAGGTGTGCGGCGCTAAAGCAAGAGCCACATTTTGAAAACGGCCCGCCTTCAGTCCGTGAAACCTGGGATCTTTATCATAACGAATGTGCGTGGCGCTAGGGCGACAACACATGTTGAAAACCACCCTGCTTCAATCCGTGGAGCCCTTGCAAACTATATAGCACCCCGCAATTGCGGGTAAGAGTGAGGGGGCGGGCGCGGGCGACGCGGGCGTCGAGCCGGCGGACCTCGTGGCCTTCACCTTCCTTGTCGATGGCGCCTTCCTCCTCCTCCTCCTCCTCCTCCTCCTCCTCCTCCTCCTCCTCCTGCTCCTTTTCCTCTTTCTCGTGACTTGCGTGCTCTGACAAGTTCAGCGCAGGGGGGATTGCTGGTGGGCCACCCGGAACGAATACAAAAACAGCCCGCCGCAGGCGCCGAATTTTGGTTCGTTCAGCGAAGTAGTTTGGGTCGCGGGTGTGTCGCGGGCTCCCCACCTCCATTTGGAAGGAATTTGAAAACAGCCCGCCGCAGCCGCCGAAAATTGTGATTTGCACACTGAACGCGGTTTGGGTCGCAGGTTCTCCACCTGGAACGAATGCAAAAGAAACCCGCCGCAGGCGCCAAAGTTTTGGCCTGTTCAGTGAACGTAGTGTGGGTCGCGCGTGGGTCGCGGGCTCTCCACCTCCACTTGGAAGGAATTCAAAAACAGCCCGCCGCAGGCGCCGAAAATTTTGATTTGTACACTGAACACGGTTTGGGTCGCGGGTGGGTCGCAGGGTCTACGGCGCAGGTCTCGGGGGGTCGCCGAGGGGCCGCAACGTCGGTAAAACACGGCGCCCTAGCCCTGTCCGACGCCTCGGGGATCGTTAGGGCGCCGTGTTTTACGGACGTTGCGGCCTCTCGGGGGCTGTCGGAAGGGTCTCGGGGAGTCACCGAGGGGCCGCACCGTCCGTAAAACACGGCGCCCTGGCCCTGTCCGAGGCCTCGGGGATCGTTAGGGCGCCGTGTTTTACAGACGTTGCGGCCTTTCGGGGGCTGTCGCAAGGGTCTCGGGGAGTCACGCACGGAGTGCTCGTCGGGCCGCGGCGGGGGCGCTCCGGCTCGCACGGAGCGCTCGGGCGCGCCTGGGAGCGCCTGGGAGCGCCCGGCAGCGCCTGGGAGCGCTTTGCAACGCTTCGGGGCGCGTGGAGACGCGTCGGAGAGCTGGGGGGCGTCGCGATGGCGTCATGTTTGCTGTCGTTCGAGTTTGCTCAATACGGAATGGTTTTCGTCTTGACACTACGCATTCACGTCTGGGGGCCGCGCCACGGTCCCAACTCGCCTGCGCTCGTCGGCTTGGCTACGATCCTTCGTGAAACACGTGGGATTCGCGTCGCGGCGGCAAGATCTCGGGCTTGCCGATGCCGCATCCCCCGTAAAACACGTGAGATTCGCGTCGCGGCGGCCAGATTTCGGGCCTGCCGATGCCGCATTCCTTCGCAAAACACGTGGGATTCGCGTCGCGACGGCTTGCGCGGAGCGCTTGTCGGGCCACCTCGGAAGCGCCCCCGCTC